TCTCTCTCTCTCTCTCTCTCTCTCTCTCTCTCTCTCTCTCTCTCTCTCTCTCTCTCTCTCTCTCTCTCTCGCCGTAGCGATGTCTTCACCGCAGGTACGTGGTAAGCCAATCTTGTATCGCTCAACCTTTCTCTCTCCCTCTCTCGGTCTTCTTCCTTGTCGTGGTCTTCTCTGGAGGTGCGCGCGGTGGTTTCTTCAATCTCCGTGTCCGCTATGGCGGACTTCTTCTTCGTCAGCCACTTCGGCTATGGCGCATCACTCTCCCTGCGACACACAACGACGCGCGTGGAATAGCGGGTACCAGATCCGATACCAATGCAATCAGACTTGCTCTCATTCACACTTCTCACGCATGCAAACGGGTGTGCAGCAAACTGGGGACAAGCGCCCACTCAGAACTCAGAGATATGGTAACTGAGAACACAGTTCAGATTCAAGTTCACTTCGATGGCTATGGCGACTCAGCGCCCACACAACTCACTGTTTGCATACACAGGATCACCCTGGATATCCCACACGTGATACTCTGGAGTCTGAACACATACACACACACACACACACACACTGAACTCTACTACAGCTATGGCGGCTATGGCCGCTACTACCCTATCGCTATGGCTACACTCCTTCTCTCTCGCCCACTTCTTCCTCGGGCTCACTGCAGACCACCCTTAAAGTCGCTTGTGGCAGCGCTTCCGCATGGCTCACGCAGGAATGAATGAATGACTGGGCGCTGCCTCTTGATTTATACTTCTGCAGCTCGTTGGTCTGGCCCTTTCCCATGCCCGAAGTGCACACAGTCCCATGTGGTACTTGCTTGACTGGCCTAGGACTGCCTAGGACTGGGACTGTTGACTCAGCACGGGTAGACTCCACCACTTCCACTTGCCCACTTGCCTCAGCCTAAACGTGGGCAACTTCGAAAGGCCACTACCGGGACCTTCCGGAAAGGTCGTGGACTTGGCCTTTCGTTGCTGTAGCAGCTACGACTTTGACCTTTCTGGACTGTAGCAGCTACAACCTTGACCCTTCGAGACAGCTACAGCTACGAGTACTAGACCTGACTGGGACTCCTACTTGACAGGTCTACAGATCGAATCCCTGCTACCTGTGGACCCTACGACAACCTACCCGCTGTTACAAATGCACAGGTCACGGGTTCAACTCTAGGGGTTGACACAGATACTGCACACAGGTAAGGTGGGAACTAGGGATCGAGCCCTGGGATCTGCATCAGCTACTGCAAACTGGTGAATACCGTTTCAAGTGGAATAGCCACCTGTTTATCCCATCCCTTGGCAACCAGCCATCTTCTCAACTTATGGTTACGTCTTGTTGAGAAACTATTCACCAACCCCACATGATCATCACATCTATTTGATATACTCCCAGTAGTACTTCCTGAAACAGTTTTCACCTTTGGCAGTAGCCGATGCAGATCCCAGGGGTCGATCCCTTGACCTCATCTTACCTGTGTACAGTATCTGCACAGTTCCCTGGAGTTGAACCCGTGACCTGCACGATAGCCAGTGGTAAGTAGGTC